GTCTCGTTTTATCGGCTACACACCTACTCCTGAGCAAATATTATATACACTCTTTGCCTACAAGAGTCTTTAAAGTATTCTTAAAGATTATGGCTTAACAACACCTTTATTTACTTTGACCTTGGTATTTTTAAATTTTCAGTGCTACCCTGCGGTTGAGCAATAACGGTGCCTTGAGCCAGAAGCAAGCAGGCAACGCCATGGCCTTCCCGGAAAGAGTAACAGGGCACCACGCACGTCCCTTGTTATTGCAGACCATGGCACGGTCCTTGGAAATGTGCCAGGCATAGCCTGTAATAGGTCTTATATAATTTAATTTAATAGTCATTAGTTATTTGCCTCGGCCCTGCAAGCTGCTGGGCTTCCCCGTGAGATGCCGAGTCCCCGGGTGCGGGGAGCAGCCCTGGCAGCAGGAGACCAGAGAGGGGTCTTAGGGAGGAGAGCATTTGTGAGGGTTTGAAAAGCCCAGAGAGAAATCATCTGTATGTTTGTGTCAATAGCGTCTCTGAAAGGAAAGCATTCAGATAATCCCGACATTTTTGTGGAACCCAGTTTATGCCGGGAAAGTTGTCTCCCTGACTTGAGTACTTCATGCTCTGTAATTCAAAAAAAGAAAAGAGCAACGAAGTAGATGTACTTAATGCAGAAGGTAAATAAATGTAGACTTTTTCTCACTGTACTCAAGGCTATCTTGCAGTTCTTGTCAAATACATGCTACTTTTGGCTTTTAAGTACCAGAGTTCATGAATACATAGTGGTCCATAAAGAGGCTGGAGGGTTACATAAAGAGTAACGGAAACAAATTTATAGTCTTTATGTCAGGTACGCTTTTCTGGGGGGAAAAAATGTGGAAAGTGGAATGCCATGGGCCAGTGATTTAGAGACGAATGCAGAAAGCCAAGAAGAGCAAGCACCGGCATATGTCAACAAAAACACCCATTAATCATTTCATCTCCACAGCTTCCTCCTCCCCAGAAGGGCTGGGAGAAACTTTTTAATTGAGTCTCCTGGGATTTGGCTAACATATAACTAATGACATGATGTAATGCCTGACTTCTTTAGCGTTGGTCTAACTCGCACACAGGCACACGCTCATTGTCGGCAGCCTCCCCTTCGAGACGTGGCCGTTTTGCAGCAATACGTCCCGAGACCTGTGTTTCCATCTGGTTTTGCAAGGAAGGAGGCTCCGCGCTGGCCAGCCCAGGAGGTGCCGTTGGCACCTCTCGGACCCTCCGAACAGCCACAGATTTTGGACTGGGCATTTTGGCACTAGGAAAACCCTATGATGGGTCCCTTGTGAAACTTCATCTCCTCAATGGGCTGCATGAGACGTCACAGGAGATGGTGGCCACTCCTACCACCTCCAAGGTGAAGGGCATTATTTTTAGGTGTCCAGTAGACCTCACTCAAATCAGTGCCAAAGCTTGACTTGGCTTCAATGGCCTCGGAAAAGTGCGTGCTCTTCTCTGATGGGAGCTGGCATATAAAGAGCATCAGGAATTACAGTCCCAGCGAAGGTAGCACAATCCCAGTAAAAGCACATTTCGGAGCTTGAGGGTCCCATACAGAATTTATTTCAGTATTCCATCTTGTGTTATCTACCAGGAATCAATTAATCCAACTGTGTTTTTTTTTAATCAACAAGGCTAAATCCATGAGTTAGGAAAAAACCCTCAAAAGCCCCTGCTTTGGGTCTAAGTGCAAGATTTAAGCCTTTTTTTTTACTAATGAGACTCCAAAACAAAAGTTTGTTGCCTAAGTTCTGGCAATAATTACGGAGGGAAAGTATCTGATGTTTCAGAGAAGGAGACTTGGAACTTGGATGTACACAAGTAGGTAAAGGAACTTTAAAAAGTCATTAAATTCACTGTTTAAAAAAACAAATTTGTGTGCATACTACAGCAGTGAAATAATTATTTACAAAAGTAATGGAGAACTGTGGTCAATTCTGTTTTCATAAAGAGAATTAGGGTTGTAAAAAAGGCGGTTCAG